GTCTGAGTATGGATCTTTTTAGTTCATCTAACTTGACTTTGTTGAGCTCTGTTATATAAATTCATGTTTTTCATGTAATTTGGGAAGTATTTATGTTATTTCTTCAAAATGCCTTCTCTCTGGGAGCATTGCATGGAACTAGGCTGCTTGGTCACCTTTAGCATGGTGAGTTTTTGCTGACCCAGCTGAGCCAAGCCAAGTCTCCTGCTGAATCTGTAGGAAGATTCCTAGTTTCATAAGGAGATGGAGCAGATTTGCCAACATGCAACCAAGGTCAGGGGAACCTTATTCCTGGGGCTAGGGAGATGGCTCAGTTAGAGTACTTGCTATGTAGGTAGGAGGATCCAAGTTAAGATCCCTAGAACCCATGTGAAAAAGCCAGGCACAGCAATGTACATCTATAATTCCAGCACTGGGGAGGCAGAGACAGGAGGATCCCTGGAGCTTGCTAGTCAGACAGCCTAGCCAAATTGGTGAGCTGCAAATCCAATGAGACACTTTATCTCAAAAATAAGATAGAGAAACTAAGGAAGCTATCTGACATTGACCTTTGTCTTCCACGTGCATGTACACACATACATGAACAGCTATACACACAGATACCACAAACAGACTGATTCTCTCTCTCTCTCTCTCTCCTCTCTTCTCTCTTCTTTCTCCTCTCTCTCCTCTCTCTCCTCTCTCTCTCTTCCCCTCTCTCCCCCCTCTCCCAGAGTTACCTTTGGGGGCCTCCCACCTCCAGCACTTCATAAAAGCCAGGTTCCAGTTTGACACTATTAGAGGATTTAAACCATTTAGAGGGAAAGGATTTGGAAATGGCTGGAGTCTGAGTTTGAGGATGTTGCCAAGCTAGTTGTGGAAATAACAAACTACCATTTTTGGTGAAAGACTTCAGCTGTACTGTTTTATGCCACCAGAAAAGGTACATGGTGATCTTTTTTAAAGAATAGAATGTTCCATTTCATCAGCCATCATATCCAGCAGTGAAACAGGATAATCAGAATTGGAAATGTGGGCAAAAGATAGAGAACAATTTAAAAGGAAACAAAAGTTACTCCGGAAGAGATTAGCTGAAGAAAGAATTCATTATAGTTATCCTTCATTGGCTTTACCTTATATGAAAAAGGAGGTTTTAGGCTTACAGAAGAAAGAGGAAAAAGAGGTTTCAAAGGCACTCCCAACTCTCCAGAGAAGTTGGGATAGCCAGGGCCCCACTCCAGTTTGTACACCATTTTTAGAGAGACAAAAAATCAGAAGTGACTGAAATGAATGATGATAAAAATAAAATCATTTTTTAAACAGCCTGTGTCCATTGTAAAAGAAAAAGTACAAAGAGACCCCCGTTCCTATCCATTCAGGGAAAAAAGACAGAAAAAAAGCAGTCAATGGCTGAATGCATTGTGTGTAGCATGTGTTCTGAAACGGAGTGATGATTCCATTATAAGGCTGACTATATTTTACAGTAAAAGGCATGCATTGATGAGACTCTTGGAAGAAAAAGTTTGTTAATTCCAATAAGGAGGGCAGTGATTGAGTGAGCCCATCCTGCCTCGTAGAAGTCCAGGAGATGCATTCCAGCCTGCAGTGCTATGGCTTGCTCTGCCCTCATCCTGTCTCCTCTAGTTTTCTTTCCACTTAGCTTACTCTGCCTGCGTTAAAAGATCACTATTAAACTGTAGCTTTTCTTCATCACCAAGTAAAGATCCCCAATCTTCTTTGACCCTCTATGCACTGTTTGTACACATTTAACCTAAAAGGTATTTTAGACTTGAACGTCAGGTGGCTGAAGCTGTAAGTTATGTGGGTTTGAGAAGACAGTTCAAGTGTTAATACAGATTTGTCTTTGTCTTCAGGTACTAACACAGATTCAGAAATGACCCATTTTCATCAAGAATGTTAAATTTTGAATTAGTGTCTTCAGTATAGAATTGTGTTCCAGATTCAAATTGTGACCAACAACTACAGCTTTTTTATAGTATATTTGTATTCAAGTAGGACTTTGGAACTTTGGAGAAAAATAGCACTTTCTTACCTGCTTCTTCAGTTTCTGGTGCCCTTGAAATGTGCTCACTCCAGAGTCACTAGAGCATACCCCCGCGGAGCCCCTCTCCTCCTTTCCTCCCTTCTAGGACTTAGATGCCTTTGATATACTTGATGGTACTTGGGGCTCTACTCAGTTTTCTTTGTTCTTTTTTCTCTCAGATTGAATAATTGCAATGAACTTACATTCAAAACAGCTAATTCCTTCTTCTGCCTATTTAGAGCTGCTGGTGAGCCCCTCTAATTTTTCATTCTGTTGATTGTACTTCCTTCCAACTGCAGAATTTCATACTTCTATTTGATTCTGGTTTTTATAATTTATATCGCTTATGTTAATTAATTTGCGTGTCATGCTGGGGATTAAACCTATAGTCTTTGCTCAAGTGTTCTACCACTGAGCTATACTTCCAACACTCTAATTTTTGTTATTGTTGTTTTGAGACAGGGTCTCATGTAGCCTAAGTTGGCCTTAAACTCCCTATGTAACTAGCTAAACTGACCTTGAAATCCTTGTCCTCCTGTCTCTACCTCCCAACTGCTGGAATTATAGGCATGCCTGACTCCTGCCTTATAATTTATGTATCTTTATTAATAGTCTCTATTTTTACATTATTCTCATCCTTGTAATCTCTCCTCTGCGTCTTTCCTCTCTCCCTTCTTCTGTCCCTCCCTCTACCTTTTCTTCCCTTCCTCCCTCTTCCCAATCCCCTCTCTCTTTCATTTTTGAGATAGAGCCCACTAAATCCTGGGCTGGCCTCAAAATTATCCTCCAGCCTCAGCCTCCTGGGTACTGGGGTACATTTTGAACATAATTTCCCTTAACTGTTTGAGCATATTTAGCTAACTATAGCTAATTTAATACCTTTACTTAGTTCAATACCTGGACTTTCTCAGAGGTAATTTCTATTGCCTGTCAATACTCATACTCTGTATAAGAGCCAAAGTTTCTTATTTCTTTTCATTTTATTTTAAATAATTAAATGTTGCAATTCTGAAAATTCTTCCATCCCAGAATTTGTTAGTTGCTGTTTGTTTCACAACTTTCTGACCTACTATGTGGATTATTTTTCATATGTGGTCACTGAGGGTTCTGTTAAATTGACGTAATGATTAGCTAATAATCATTATCTCTAAATAGAACTTTCTTTAATGCTTGGAACTAGAATCCTCACAGTCTTTGCCAAGAGGCTCTAGGTATGTGTTGGGACACAGCTTCAACATTCACCTGAGTGCTTACAACTCAAAGTAAGCCAGAGATGAGAGTCCAGAAACTTCATGGAAGTATTTCTTGAACATACCCACTGCCCTGAGTATGCAGGTGGTTATCTAGATTCCCAGGAGTATGCTGGAGCTTCTCAGAGCCCTCTTCCCCCAGTGTGCATCCCTTTCACCAATTTTCCCTTCAAAACTTTTAGCCTTCTGTTATCCTGAATGTTACTTGCTGTCAAATGATGGCTCGTGTGGAAATGGGGCCTTGAAAGGATGCTGCCTCTGTTCTCCCTCTTCCAGCAGCTGCTTGATTGCTGGTTGTCAGGATGAGTACAGTTTTCAAGTTTACTACCACCTGGCAACACCAGGAAGCTTATCTTACTAAGATGCAACCAGTTGTCCTAAATAAATGTTCCCCAGATTGCTAGAAAATGGTTAACTCCAGAGTTCTGAAACTTTTCCAGGGTTACCATCTCTTTTTTGGAGCAGAGAATTTTCAGAGGTCAATTCTACCACTTGCCTCTGGCATCCTTGTTAATTTATTGACTTCAAAGTTATGGAGGCTTTTGGTTTGGGTTTTTTGTTGTTGTTGTTGTTGTTGTTGTGTTTTTGTTTTTATTTTGGGATTACAAGAGACAGTATGTTTGAAGAGAAGCATTACCTGGATGCCATTTGAGTTCTCTGGCTTTGGGGCCTTGGTTTTTCCATCAACAGAGGAAGGGTGCAAGCACTTCTTACATCTCTCCATCTGCCTCTGTGAAGTAAGTGCTCTCATGACTGTGGAGTGCTTTGGTCCTTTAGGAAGAAAAGCACTTAACTTTTGGAAGGCTTCATGCTTGTAATTCTGCTGGGCACTGTGTCCCCTTGTTCAAGCCACTGAGCCATTTGCCTGCCCAGTCTCTGCCTCTTTTCTTTTCTCTCTCTCCCTTGCTCAAAGACTAGGCTCAGCTTCCCATAAACATGCCAGTAAATTTAAATTACTTCAAATGTCTTTGAAGTTTCTTGAAGGTATTATTTATATTCTGACTACAAATTTTGAATATTCTATATATGATCCAGTATGTTTTAGTGCCATTCTGAAAGTGATTACTGGAGGTTTTTATTTTAGACATAGTACTAGAAGTAGTTTGAAACTTCTAAATGTTCTTATGCATTTCCCTGATTTGCTTTTTAAAAAATTATTTCTGTCGCCGGGCGTGGTGGCGCACGCCTTTAATCCCAACACTCCAGAGGCAGAGGCAGGCAGATCTCTTTGAGTTTGAGTTCAAGGCCAGCCTGGTCTACATAGTGAGTTCCAGGCCAACTAGGGCTACAGGGAGACCCTGTCTCAAAAAGACCAAAACAACTTTTAAATATTGTCAAGTTCCTTTGTAGTACTACTGAGTTAGCTTCTGCATAAGTGGTTTTAGAACTCAATTGAGGGGGGGTTGTTACTGCAGTAAAATAAACAGAACCTAACATTTACTAATTTAATTTCAGTTTAGCCATGCACTTTAGCTGGATTAAGCACATGTACTTCAGTTTTTAGAAATGGATTGTGTGGTTCCTTGGTGAGTGTTGCTCTGTACAGCAACATTAGTATAAAGTAGTAGTATGCACTGTAATATGTTTTGCTAATCCATTTTGTAGGAAGACATGAGTTTTATCCTGCGTAGTAGGCATTGTTTTCCACAGTCTTTCTTCCGTTAGTTCCTCTCATTTCTACTTTCTTGTTCATATGTGGCATGCCTAACTTGCCCTTCATTTTGCAGGTTGCAGTGCAGGCAGGAAGTACCTCAGGGACAATCATGTCAAGAGGATTGTATCAACCAGCAACAATCTTTATGGACCACCAAATGTCAGCCATCTCAAGCATTGAAGATTTCAGTACAGAGCAGAAAGCTCCCCAACCCACAAAGAACTTTTCAATTCCTGACCCACGTTCACACCAACAGACAGCCCAGAGCATCAATGTGACAGACAGCTATGTAGTACAAACTAATAGTGACACACAGTGCTTAAATAAGACTGACAAAATAGATGGAAAGACATTTCTTCAGATTGGTGAGAAAACGCCAGTCACAACTAGTGTGTTGTCTGAGAAAGAACAAACTCATTGCTTGGAGATAGAAAGCAACACACATCACAGAAAGAGTAATTTATCTGAAGGCAAAAAGTCTGCTGAACTCCATTCCTCGTTACAGGAAAGATTAAGTCCAGAGAACAGAACCACTGATTTAAAGTGTGACAGTTCCAGCAGATCAGAGGGATCAGACAGAGAAATCCTGACACAAGAACATATTGAAGTCAAGGAAGAAAGAGCCAGCCCGCCAGTCTCTACGATATCAGTTTCAGAACACTGTGCATCTGAAAATAAGTGGTCTCGAGAGAAGCATTCTGCTTGGCAAGGTTTCTCAGGTAAGATGAGAGGCCAAGCTTGCTTGCTGAATTTTGTTAGTGTTTCGTTTTTCTGGTAGTGAATCTGTATAAAGAAAAAATATACACTAATTTATCTCTTTGCTAAAATTCAAGATAGTGACTTCGTCAATGAAATCCGTTCTAAAGATTAAATGTGTTCATGGAAATATTGTAAAAAATAAAATCTCTGATTTTTAAATTTGTATTTTAAACTATTTTTCAGGGTTGAGAGTATGTTTTGCTCAGTGATAGAATGCGTGCTTATCACGTAGGAGGCCCTGGGTTCATTGATTCCCAGTGTGACTAAACTTAAAAATGTCTAAAGAGAAATCAAATATTTTGAAGTTTTTTGTTACTAATTTTTTTATGTATGTGTATGAGTGCTTTGCCCACATGTATGTATATGTATCATGTGTGTACAATGCCCACGGAGGCCAGAAGAGGGTGTCAGAGCTCCTGGAACTGGAGTTATTAATGACTGTTAGCTGCCATGTTGGTGCTGGGAACCAAACCTGGGTCCTCTACAAGAGCAGCCAGTGCTCTTAACTGTGGAGCCATCTGTCCATCCCCGAAATAAAACATTTTAAAAAATATTTTAAAACTATAATTGTGGATTGTTTCTGCATTTTTAAATTTGTGTATGTGGGGGGGTACATATGCGCGTGCATACGTGTGTGTGTGTGTGTGTGTGTGTGTGCATGCCAGAAGACAGCCTCAGGTTTCATCCTTAGAAAGGCTATCAATCTCATTGCCTTGGAGCTTACCAATTAGTCTAGACTGGCAGGCTGGTGAACCCCAAGAATCCTCCTGTCTTTGCCTTAGATCCTCATGATTCTGAGGCAAGTACTTTATTGACCGAGCTATCTCCCAGCCCCATGCTCCTAAACTTTTTTTGGTTGTTTTTGTTGTTGGTAGTGATAGTTGTGTTGTTGTTGTTTTTTGTTGTTTTGAGACAGGGCCTTATTTTGCCCTGGCTAGCCTGGAATTTACTATTTAGACCATATTGGCTTAAAACTCACAGAGTTCTGCCTCCCTTTGCCTCCTGAATACTGGGATTAAAGGTTTTTGTACCACCATACCTGGCTAGCTTTTATACCTTCTTAACTGATGAATAATTCTGTTCTGAGTTACTTGGATTCTCCAAGAAGTTAGTGACCCATAATCCAATCATTTCCCCTCTTACAGATGATCTCAGCCATGGGGACCCAGGGTCACAAAAGCCCTTCCTAAAAATGCAAGACAAGCAGGAAGAAGCAAGTTCATGCAGCAGCAGTGACCTCACAGTCTCTGTCAGTGAAGATGATCTGATTTTAGAGAATTTGGATATACTGCCAAACCCAGTGGCCAAGATGGAGGGTGAAGATGGAATTCAGGCCTCAAGATCTATCCACACTGGGCAACAGACAGATGTCCTGCTCACTGATTATGTTTTGCAAACCCAAAGCTTTCCTGATTCAAAAAGGAAGTCCACCACTGACTCACCAAGACAGTAAGCTATTTCTGTTTTTTTCTCAGTGTTCTGTTTCTTATTATACACATTTTTAGAGTCCATTTCACTGAGGAAATACTACTAAGCACCACGAGGTGTAAGTTGCCTAATCTTATAAGCAGACTTTTAGATAAGATCTAATTTTCTTTAACTTTCTTCCTTTTTTGAAAACATAAGTCCCTTTGATAGCTTAGCTGGTAGAGCAAAGAACATCCTTAGGTTGCTGGTTTGATTCCAGATCAAAGGAGACACTACTGTTGGGGGCTTATCAGTTAAGATCACTGACTGCACTTGCAGAGGACCCAGGTTTGATTCCTAGCACCCACATGGTGGTTAACATCTGTCTGTAGCTCTAGTTCTAGGGGATCCAACGCCTTGTTCTAACCTCTGCAGACACTGCACAACAAGGGTGTACCTACCTGCAGGCAGTCATTGCACTCATACACATAAAATAAATTAAGAAATAATAATAAAAAATAAAACTAAATAGCCTTTAGAAGTGTGAATGTCATTGAGCTGTGGTGATTGGCAACTTATAATTACATCCAGACAATCCCTGGTAAATTCTTAAGTCACCCCACCTAGTCCTTACCCTTATTGTTTAATTTTTTTTTTTAATGGCATTTTGCTACCATAAAGGTGAGAGGTAGACAGACTTACTAGGAATTCAGCTTCAAGAACAAAGAACTTTGTATCTAATGACTTGATCTTCATATCACTTTCCATAGTGTCATTTTTCTCGTATGATTGAAAGAGCTAATAGTGCTTATTGAGTCTCTAAGCCAGACTTCCTTTTCTGGCTATAAATCTGAGAACAGTGGAATCACTAATGTTCAGGAGAGCATCAGTGTAGTACATTTCCAGTACTTTCATTGTCTAACTTAGAGAACTGATATATGTACTTTTATAATTAATTTGATATATTAGGCAGAAGAAAATGTCATCGGAGGTTTTTCTGTATCTCCTCAGTAGAAAACTTAGGAATGAAAAACAAATTCTGTGATTAAAGCAAACAAACAAACCATACTGGTAGCATCAAATGTCTTTTATGGGGAGCAGGAGCCTAAGTAAATAGCTTAAGGTAGGTCTTACCTTTTACAAATGAAGACACTAAGACCAGAAGCATAGCAGTGTCACATAGACCCTTGGGGCAGAACTCCCCTTACAGCCTGCCTCCCCTGTTACCAGCTGCCCCCAAACTTCAGGGATACTGTGATGCTGGTTGCCTTCTATTCCAGTAGTGCAGCTGCAGTGTATGTTGAGTGTACATTCTTCTAAGAGCAAGTGCAAAATACATGCACTGTGGATAGAAGGGACTGAGAGCACTCTTGGTGGGAAATTTGATAGATTGGAGAGGGAAGTCATAATGATTTTTCTATTAATACTTCTCTCATCAAAGAAGTACAGGTATTACATCATAAAATAATACATCAGAGACTTTATGACTAGAGTAGCATGTCTATTTTGTGTTTGTAGACTCATTTTTATGGCAACATACTGAACAAGGTAGTGAGTACCTCAGTAGGCTGAGTAGGAAAGCAGTGTATTTGTTTGGGCTTGATGGTTTTCTGAGGTTAAAAAAGTTACACACACACACACACACACACACACACACACACACACACACGCACGCACACACACAAATGTTCAGAATTACCACATGATCTTTCTCTAGAAGTCAATAATATTCTATATCCCATTCTCCTGTACATGAATGACTTTTTCCCTATAACCTTACATTTAATCATCTTTTGAATACTTTAAATACTATTTTCAAATACTT